GTGGAAGGAAGTATGGTTGTGCTTCAGATTGTGTGGAGTGAAATTGCCTGACAAGATGTTAGGACATGGTTCAGGACATATTTTTTCCTTGAGACCAACAAGGAAATATTTTGGAAGATACATGTCAGGAGGGTGTGTATCATGTGTGTCTTGTGTTCTGTTTTATCCAGGTTGGTGGTTGATGTGTTCTTATGTTTTCTCTTATGCCACCGTTGGTGTTTTAAGTTCCTATGTTAAGGGGGAGAGTTATTTATCTTCTTTCTCATGTACACCATGACTTTTGGACCTTCTCTTTATCCCGAGGTTGTTGTTTCATGGTGTTAAATGTGTTTGGGCTGATGTGAAGAGATGTTGGATGTGATGTTCCAACATCAATCATATTGTGGGTGTTATCTCTTGTTAAAAGCCTTTGTCATATTCTGGTTTTAAATGGGGATAAAACATTTGTATATGTTGAGAACATTTGTATGTGTTGAGATTCTATTTGTGCTAAACTTGTGTGTGCAGCTTTTAAAGGGGAAAGAATGTGTGTTTGGCTGTAATGAGAAGTCTTATTGTTCATGTTGTGACATCATGTTGACGGTGAAATCTAAAGACTGTCGAATATGTGAAGACTAAAAATCGTCTGCTTCTGAGGTTTTTAGGTTGCTGCTGATTTGTATTGTTTAAATTTTTGCTTGTGATATAATTTCTGAGTTTTATATGCAAAGATTATGTAAATTAGTTTTAGCCAAAATAAGTCAAAGGGGGAGATTGTTAGTTATCTGAATTGTGTAATTGGCATTATGTTTGGCAAAACTAATAGAGCAGTAATATGTTAGATAGAATGTTCTTACTTGCTAACATGAACAAGTTGTGCAAGAAACCCTATCTTATGTTGGGACATATTGAGTTGAATAGTTTCAACATCTGAAACAACATGTCGAACAAGAAGTCCTATGCAACTTGACATTGCACATGAACTGAAGTGATTTGTTTATTCTGTTAAGTCAGAATGACATAATATATTTTAGGATATTATATTATCCCATATGGAGTTGTTTTATAGGTCATGAAGAATCAAGTCAAAATATTGAGAATATTCACTTTCTAAATATGGAAATAATTTAGGAAGTTTATGAATTGAAGATCTATTTCTTTGCAGGATCTTCTACAGAATTGTAACAGCTGACAAGCTGTGATTGAAGGCCAAAATCCAGTTGGATTATAGGTTATAAATAGAAGCTTTGTAACCTAGTTTTTGCACCATCCGAAAATATAAAGATGCAATCATTAGGGCTGAGTCCATAGCCACTCTCTAGGAGAGTTGGTGAAAGTGAACCACTCAGGTTATGAGACGGTCACTTCTCCTCGAAGTTATGAAGCAATAGTGAGTATTGTTCTTGGAGGAAGCTTTTAAGCAACTCCAAGTTGTTGTCATTAGTTATGAGTAAAGTTGTAAATGGTGAAGCTTAGCTTTAGGTCTTGGCTAGATATTATCATGGAAGTGTGTCTTCCTGTCTGTTCAGAACTGTGTTTGAAGTGTGATCTTCATATAAGTGGAAAATTCATCAATACAGTAATTGGGAATGTTGACTGTTAGACATCATTGCAGTGATTGGAAGTGACTGGGGATACTCATATCTATGAGTTCCTAGGTAGAAGTTGCATTGGGCGAGGATTAAGTGATAAGCTATAAACGGGAGAGTTTAGCTTTGAATTAGTACTAGTGATAATGGATTTCTTTCCTGGCTTGGTAGCTTCCAGAGTAGGTGTTGTTGTCAGCAAATTAGGTTAACAATTCAGTGTGTTGTTTAGGTTTTTCAGTATATGTTTTATATTTTTTATGTCTTGTCATGTTGTTTCTGTCAAATCATATGTCTCAACATCTTATATGATATCTGAACCTGTCGGACCAGAATTTCAGTTTGAAATCTCTTAAAACTTTCAACTCTATAACAAAACTTCATATGTGTTGGAATTTTCTGAAGGCTAATCAAATTTGGTCTTTCCTTCTTCATGTGAGAGTTAAAATAAACCGTAGAGTTATTAAATACTCCATGAAATCTTTTATTTGTAGTATAAAGGATATTTTTAGCACTATCATTCCAAACAACCATTGGTTAATTAGAAATGTCTTTCATATAAACTTTTGGCTTGATAGCTAGTTAGGAGAACCATTTGCCTCCAAGTTCAAAATTTCTGAAATTTTCCATAACTCTCTTACTTCTAAGGTTAGTGATTGGTTGATTAACGGGTCTTGGTTTATTTGGTACAATATTCTAGTTGTTATTTTGAACCTTCTGCATCACATCTCTGTTGTGCGCATTCCTGAGTTGGATTTTGATGATGTGTTGTTCTGGAAAGGAACAAAAATGGAATGTTGAGTCTCAATTAGGCCTACAACTACATTCAGAAACCTCATCCCAGTGTTTCCTGGTCTTCGTTCCTGTTGGATAGCAATATTCTTCATTCTTACTCCATGCTCGTGTGGAGATTTATTCGCAACAAAATTCCCACAAATGATAATCTGACTTTAAGAGGTTTACTTTCCTTCTATTTGTTCCCTCTGCAAAACCAATCAAGAGACCTCCTGTCATATTTTTTCGATTTCCCTTTTGGTAGGAACCTCTGTAACTAGTTGAAGGATAAGCTTTAGTCTCAATCTTCCATTTACAATATGTTAGATTGCAATTTGGTTTTGGCTGCCAATTGGTCTCCTCAAGCTACATCAACTATTATTGCTTGTGTTATTAGCTTGTTTCATCATATTTGGCGAGCTAGGAATCTTGCAATATTTGAGGATATCAAAATATATTGAAAGAATTGCATTACTGTTATTGTTGCTCGTGCCAAGTTGGTTGGCAATTTCCCTTTAAAGAGCTCCAATTCTTTTATCTCAAATTTCACTTTTTTGAAAGATTTTGACATTATTATCCATCCTAGCAAGCCTTTGAGAATCTTAGAAGTTCTTTGGCCTCCTCCTTTAGGGTGGATTAAATACAATATCGGTGGCCTTGCTAAAGGTTCTCCCATATTGACTTCTTGTGGTGGCATTTTCAAACATGGCAAAGTTAGTATATGGGGAATTTTTGGGTTTATCTTGACGTGGAGACTTCGGAGTTGAATGAGTTATTTGCAGTTTTAATTGCTATTGAGAAAGCTATAAAGATTAATTAGAAGAAACTTTGGATAGAAACGAATTGCTTACTAGTGATGAAAACCTTCTCAAACTCTAATCTTGTTCTATGAAAAATCAAGTTTCATTGACTTAGTTGTTGGTCTTACACTTTTAACATTGATTTCATGATCACTCATATTTATTGTGAAGCCAACTTTTGTGGTGATTTCCTAGTTAACCTTGGTTTACAAACTAAGAATTTCACTTGGTTTCCTCATGTTCATAGTGATATTGTTGGAGATTACTTGCTAGACAAAGATGATTAAACAACGAATTCGTGTTATGGTCTTGCTATAAGCATGGGAAAAATTTTGATGAAAAATAAAAATAAAAATAAAACAACCAATTTAACAACGAATTTCACTTGGTTTCCTCCATGACAAAGGAAGAAAATGAAGCCCGTGAAGCATGGGAAAAGTTTTGGCTTAAACTCAAGTCCAACCCTAACCCTGATGAAGAAAACACCATAGAATATTCTGACAGGTTTTTAACTGAAGATGAAGACTCCACCATTGACAAGTGTTTAATTGAAGATGAAGATGACTTCTTTTTTAATCAGAATAAATGTGTTGCTCAACAGTTGAGATTAAAACATGGTAAGCTGAACTGAATTTCATATCAATGTTTATCATTTTTCAAAGCATTTTAATAATATAGAGGAGGAGAAGGTACTGTGTTCTGCAATGCCTTTGGTCAGATTATGAGTTAGACTCATTCTCTACTCCTACTCGGTATGCTATTCCATTACAAGTAGCATTTGCATGGTATAGGGGGTCCAATGACAAGATCCAAAACAAAGAAAGTGAAGAAAGCATTGGAAAAGGCATGACTTGCACTCGTCTCCAACCTTAAACTTTAATCAATTCCTTGAAAAGTCTATTGTGAGGGTCTGATCTCTTGGATTTACTTTATTTGCTCATTTGTTTTAAGATTTTATTATTTTTGTATTTTGTTTGCACAAGATCAAGGAGTAACCAGTGCTAATTTATTTGGCTGCATATGTACTTCAATGGAAGTTACACTACAATGGAATTTTAAAATGTGGAGCAATTCAAGGTAACATTTTTCAAACATGAAAAAACCTTTGCTGGATTTCCCGTCGCATTGCAGTCATTTACAACCACAACTACAAGTTGTGACAAGTAAACTGCTCTCCTGCAAAGTTAGTGGATAAATAGGATACTAATGCAAAGTTAGCTTGAATTTAGCATCAACAAAGAAAATATTGCAAGACATATCAATTCAATAGATTGCCTTTACTGCTGTTTGAGGATAAATAGAGCTTTCTTTTCATATTCCAAAAACAAATTCAAGTACATAAAACTACCAAAGGTTACTGGCAAACTCAATAAGAAAATGAAATGACAATCATTGAGCAATGTCAACATTATTGATGTCACAATACAATCAAAGCCACTACTACATCTGTTTTATTTAGCTCAAGAGGAGTCAATACCATGCATATTTAGATATACACATGCAAGAAATTAAATAATTTGACAATGCAATTGTTTTTATAAAAAAAAGTACCAAACCAGGAGTATGCTACTAAGTAGCACGGCAACTTAGTTAATACTGCACTACAACAGCAATAAATACTCTTCTATAACAGCAATACTGACGGTCAATACTCTTGTGGTTAATACACCAAAGAATAAACGCCAAAATAGAAGAGAGAACTTAAGTGGATAAACCATTGACCATCCCTGCAAGCTGGTTGAGGAGATTCAGTCCCAAAGGTGTTTCTGGTGAATAAAATCAGCAGAAAGACTGCCACAAATTCTAAATCAGATACTAATAACCTAGCTTGAGAAAAATCCACTGTTATAACATACTGGGGTCATCTTCCTGTCTTGGCACGCTTCATTCCATTACTATTGAAAGGTGACATACTCGGACTCATACTAGGGCTCATACTGGGACTTTCCTCCCTCAGAGTACCATTAAGCATAGCTAGCTCCCGCAGTTGCTGCTTCTTATAGTGATCAAGTGATTCATCCTGACAGGTTGCCACGTATTAGAAGGACTAGCCCTAAAAGAGGGTGAGGCACAACAATTAATGCAATCAAATGTGAAAACAAATTTATACCACAGGCTTCAAAAGATTTTCTAGTACTGCAACAGCATGGTCCAAGCGTGAATTGATTATATCCTCTGGAAACTCTGCCTCCACCAACAAGTGCAATGGCTCGTTAAGGTGCTCATACCCAGGTTTATCTTTAAGCTTCTCTTCCTATAATAATAAGAATATAGGAAAGACGGAAAATGCGGCAGCGTAAGGCTTTGATTAGTATGAGAAATCCAAAAGCAGTGGGATGGGGAATCAAATGCAGAACTCCACGGTGAAAGAAGAAACAACTTGAATTGGAAAATGAATGTCTAAATTTATTTAGAATATTAAGATAGATAATGTACTGTATGTTCATCACATTACTACGTGCATGTGAGTGACTAGAAGTTTATGAAAACTAATGATTAAAAGAATCAAATCAAATTAATGAAATTAGCAGTAAAGAAATCTTCAATTTAAAGGAGAGCCTAAATACAACAACTGAAGTTGCTGCTTCAAGTCATGGAATTGGCCTTTTGCAAATGCAAGGTAAAGGTGCCAACCTCTGGCTCTGTAGCACCGACACCTCCGAAAAAAGGTGTGTCCGTGTCAAACACAAATCCTTGCAATTACGTTCAATATATTCATTTTTTTAAATTAGTACCAGTATCGACGTGTCAGTGTTGTGTCTGTGTTTGTGTCCGTGCTTCATAGGTGCCAACAATAGATCCACAATGGAATCAAGTTTCCCTTTTCACGGTTGTTTAGAGTGCATAATTAAATACCAACTCTACCTTAATAGAATCCTTCACAGATCCACAGCCTCTGATGTAAACCCTACATTCTGTCATCGCTTCCACTCTTTTTAATGAGTTCCCGCGAGGTCCCAGAATCCGACCGACAAAATTATACTGCTGTGATTTGAGTAAGAAAAATATGTTATTACATTGTTGAGAAGATAAACTGATATGGTCTGAAGTGGAAAAAAAACATGATTTGGACTTACATTTGGATATTTATCGACAGGGACGTCAAGCCTGATAACTCTCTTCACTACAGGAGTCGTCGGAATTCCTTGTGCCCCATGCCAACCCACTAGTGGTGCTTGAAACGGTCCCATTCTTTGGAGATTTCCATTGTCCTGCAAGTAGAACTTTAGAACTCCGCTTTTATAAATTGTAAACACAAGTTTAGATCAAAATTCAAACTCTCTTGCCACCGATGTTCCACACAATGCAATGGAACTTTTTTTTGTACCAGATATAATGCTCAATTGTGAGCATTTAGTCATTCAATGCAGCATATATTAAGGTACTCACAATTTGGAAACTCCAAAGAGCCAAAATCTGGCAACAAATAGCAACCATGTTTTCACATCATAGAATCCGTTTGCGAAATACAAGAAAAGAAAGGCTTCCTAAAATAGACCCACAATGGGCCTGGCCCTTTCATGATCTTGCTATTGCAGAATCTTTATAGCACTAGGTTTTCCTAGGATCACGGAGCTATTTGGCAAGCATATTGAATGGTATTACGCATGTTAAGATATATAAGAATAACTTCTTCCAAGATTTTTTCAAAAATTGAGGTTAAGAAGGCAGGATTAAAAGCTAAAAAACAAAGACCAATTTTCAAAACTGTCAGTCACAGTGCTTTTTGTGGTAAAATATCCTGAAAACAAGTTACATTGGTGCATTCTGATGCATGGCAGATGCTTCTCATACAGATCTTTTAAAGACCCGCATTACCATGTGTAGTAAAAGATCCACCTAAAATGCTCAGAGTAATTAGAAAATACAATCCTAACCAGTGGCCACAGACCATTGTAAAAGAAATTGAATTTGAATTGTGCTCTTTGCCATGCAGAAATGGTTAAAAAATATCTGATAGTGATAGGCAGAGTATTTCCCTTAGGTGTATAGAAAATACCACAGGACCTCCTGGCAAGTGAGGAGCAAAACAAAGCTAATTATCTAGGTATTGTTTTGTTACCACTGATAGGAATAGAATAAGGAAACACTCTTTCTCAACTAATGGTATCATGTAAAATCCAGGCAAGAATTATTTTCAGCAGGGAGAGCCTTTTAAGCCCATCCATCTGGAAAAAAAAAAAGTCTAATGGATTTCTTTCACATGATAGAAGGACTCTCGTGTTAAAACTGATACAGTTCATTTATCATGCTCATATGTTTAATTATAAAAATGAAATATGGAAAACAAAAAGCACACAGATCACACTTGGCGTAAATAAAATCATGAGGGTAATGGCACGACTTTGCAAACAAACAGCAATGAAGATTGTAAGCATGCACGCAATTAAAATTGCTATAAGTTTACTTTACCCGCAAAAAAGTGAAGAATAATTAGAAAACAAATAATAGAGCATGATGAATAAACATGAAATAAGAAAAGAATTCATGAATCATTGAATAGAAATTTGTGAGTGGTATGAAGTAGCATTACCTCTCTAGGTACAGCAGGCCATCCCTCCATATCCATTGGCCTACTATTTGGATGTTGACCTGAAGGCCTAAATGGACTGTCTGGCTCAAATCTTTCATGATCCGGAAAACCTTGATTAAATCCGGATATCCGTCTGATTTCTGCAATGCACAATAGAAACTGAGAAACAAGATAAAACAGAAAGAAAAACATGAGCAAAGGTAAGGTGGTCTCCCAAGCATATATAATAAATCAGTATGAGAGTGTGTGCATGATAGAGTATAAATGAAGAAATATGATTGACAAACCTTGAGTTAAGAGCCTGGTACATTGTGGGAGAACTTGCAAAAAGGGACCCAATTTCTGCCTCTCAGCCAATAGTTCAGCCAAAAATCTGCGAAGAATTAACTATGAATAAATTGAAAAAGAGAAATCATGAGTTGATGTGAAAAAGAAGGGTGTAAAGAAACCTTTCACGATGATCGGAAGACCTGATAGGAGAAGGACCGGGAGGAGGGAACTGAAAATAACTTCCATTCCCATTTCCGTTCCCAGATGGGATCCTCTCTCCCATCTTCTTCTGCAATTTTCAAAAACAAACCCTAGTTAGGTTAGTAGGACCCACACAAATCATTCAGCATGAATCGAAATTGAGAAATAGAATAACGATGACGACTAGACGATAGGTTAGATGAGCGAGTACAGAAGAGAAAGGGTTAGGTAACTTACAGAGTTACAAAGTCGGAGGAGAGAAAGGGAGAGGGTGAGCCACGACACTACAGTCGGTGACTACACTACCAGTACCAACCAAAGTCCAAAGGACGAACAACAAAGAGAAATAAGAGGGCTGCCGTCTACCTCTTTATATATGTTTTTTATTCATTCAATTACTCTTTTTTTAATTAATTATAAAAATAAATTAATTTTTTAAATCATTTATATTTTGGTGTGGTGATGAAAGTCATAATAGAAATTCTTCGGTGATAAGTTAATTTATGTATTTCTAAGGTTAACACTCGAATGTTAAAGGGAGCGAGGTCATACAGATATAACATTTAAGAGTGAATGAATTCTACTTGTTTATGCCACGTGATCGTGTTTGTATACGAGCGATGGTTAAAACTACACTCAGTGAACACGTTGTGGGTTATAATAGACAATTGAATTGATTCCAGCAAATTTTATGAGCACAACGTCGGGTTCCAATGTGCGGCTTCTTGATGAAGGTTTACTTTTTTGTCTTCTTTATGTCGAAAAAACTCTAGGTTCGACGTTCTAATTGTGTCGGTCTTATTAGCGTTTGGTCGTTCCATGACAGTTGTCTCTTAAGTCATTATTGTCGAATATGGGGCTATAATAGTTGTAAAAGCGGTGAGATATGCCTTTAGAATGTTCTTATTTGTTGATTCGAGATATTTGTGTGTACAATCCACATTGGGGGAAGTTCGAGATGTGTTGGGTCAGAAGATGTGATATCGAGAATACACACATTAAATGTGTGTCATTCAATCGTTTCATATCTCAAAAGTTGTTGGCTCTTAAGGTAAAAATATTTTCTTTTTACAGTATTGTTTGCTCTTTGCTAGTAATTTTTGGTATGATCTCCATGGGAAACCCGGGGGTTTGCATTAATAGAGAAGGAACGTGTTTACATTGGTATTTGCCTCAAAGAAGTTTTTAAAAGATTTGCTTTCCCATGTTTGCACTTAACCAACTATAATATATGGATGACTTCAGGCAAGTGTGAAAGTCTCCACGAAGTGGTCAAGGATTTAAAGGATCGACATAATAGTATATTTTGAAGTCAATAATAATCTTCTTTGGGTTGATCAAGGGACGTTGGGCACAACTTTCATCTTTTTTGACAAAGGGTGTTTGGATAATTCCTTCATTGATGTTTACCCTTCTTATAATTGGGGTTTGATCCCCAAGAAAGTGATAAGAGCTTTTGAAGTCGATTTGTTGGGCGAGTTCTTACTCTTCACGAGTGTCTTTAATCTTATATGGGATTCCAACTTCCCTTTAATGGTTTTTAGGTGGGTTCTTAATCGTATGAGGACCCCTTCCTCTCAATTCATGGTTGCACCCCTTAAGTTGGTCTTATGTTAAACTCTTTCAGTATTTACGCGAACATAAGAAAGACGATCCAACTCTAACACTCTTCTTCCATTTTCTCAACATCCTACAAACTTCGACCAACTCAAATTGAGGTCATGGTTTTCCTTCCATCGAGCTAGATAAAAAGATGATTTGGTATATGTCGACAACTTGAAAATTTCAAGAACATGTATTACTTGGTCACACCATTAACCAATAATGCTCACGAGAATATATGTGAGATTCAGGTTGGTGTCACCTTGAGGTGTACCAATAAGTTCCCTAAATCTTGGCACCAAAACCACTTATTTGCAAGACCAAGGACATGCACATATATGCCATGTGATTTATCCCAAAAGGATAAGTATTTGAAGGATAAGCCCGCACCTTTCTAGGAAGGCCTCGACTTTATTGATGGTGTCATATCTTTTGTTGTTACCTTCAAGAAGCGAAAAAGGTGGTATATCAAGACTTGTCTATTAGTAGAAGTGGCCACCAAGAAGAAGAGGTGTAACATCTTTTACAGGGGTTGAAACATCTTATGTATATTTGATTATTATGAATAAAAAACACTTACTAATTTTTACCTTTCTCTGTATCTTCCTCCAGATAAGATGGGTTGTCTAAAGATGATGCTTTTGATAATAAGAACATTTAGGAGTATGCTCCCACCATTTATTGTTATACTACCTCATAGGGAGGCTCCTCCAGAGGATGGTTCTCCAAATTCGACTCTATTAGTTTTACTTTAATCATAGCAACCCGAGATGGGAAAGTCCTCCATGAACTAAAGGTAATCGACACAAACACAATATGTTTTTCGTCGACCTGATGGTGAGACTATTCACAGGCCTTCATTAAGGGTGGTTAGCAAAGGTTCCCAAAATGGAGGGACACGAGAGGTGGGCATTCTTTCATTGAGCCCATGTTAAGCACGATAATGTTGGATCATGAAGGAAGCATGTTTTCGTATCCAATAATCTTGCATTTATCATTCCTCGCCCATCTCGATCATAGGAATGCTAAGGATATTTAGTCTTACATTTCTGAAGAAGATTATGCATATTTTGCAAGTAAAGCAAAGACGATAATGCCAATAGGATGTGGCAGAAAGGCCATACTAAATGCACAAGGCAACTACTTTGTTTGAATTTTTAGCCATAAGAAATGAATAGGTTCTGGTGCCCAGGAGTCTTCGAATGGATAAGGAAATTTTTAAAGAATGTTTTTGTTCACTTGTTATTAAAAGGGACATGATCATTCACTAGTTCACTATGTCGGCAAAACTTTAGAGAGAAGTGGGACATGAGGTGCAGGCGTACTGGTATCCCTCTTTGTTAGATAAGGGAGTTCACATTGGGGATAACATAAATAAAAGACCTTGGTCAATGTCCTTGCTTTCGCCAATATAAGCAGGGCTTTGGACTTTTCACATATGACTGAAAGGAAGTTTAATACTTTAAGTGAAGCTCAAAATAGTTTGAAATGAGCTAAAAAATGTTGCATGAGGTGTAGTCTAAAAAGGTTCATATAACCAAGAAAAATGTGAGTGTCGTTAAATTTAATTATTCCAATATACATATGACATTTGAGAAGTCCTTCAAACATGTAGAATTCATCCACCCAGGGGTAAAAATCTCGAGGGAATATATTCATCTTGAACGTGAAATATTATATGCTAAAATAGTTGTTCTTTGTGCGAAGCCTACTTCATAGATTATAATGTATTTTATTTTATTTGTGTGCCTGATGGGTGGTTTCTCGGGACATTCTCAATTTTTTTGCTTGTAAGGATATCATTGATGAACAAAATTTTCTTGTTGTCTCGTCTTGTTTGTGTATGAGATTTCTTTGTTTTATGACATTTTTTACTTTAAAAATGGGTGATGACTCTTTATTTTTTAATAACACAACATTTATCATGCTTATTCTTACAACCCTTGATTCAAGGTCGATGTTCTTAGTATCTAATACCTATTGCAAAAATGTGCTCAACTATTTTATTGAATGTCCCGGAGGATCACACATGAACGAATGTATGTTCCTTTCCTTTGCCTCCAAGTAAAAATTTGGTTCGAGGCCGACATATAAGGGATTCACCTCTTACATCATGGGAAGCTATGTACCAAAGGAAGGGTGAGCCTAGATCACCGCTTTTGGGTTTGAGGTTTCATTGTCCTTAATTGATTGACTTATCTTAAGTGATATTAGATTGATTTAGTCATACACTCATGATTTTTTTGACAGCACATGTCTCCTATACGTGATTTAGACTTTGTAATTGCATTGACTTTAGATTTTCAGTATTGATTTAAGCATGTAAGGACTTTATTAATCAAATTCCCATTTAGAAAAGTTTAGCTCAGAATTCTCAAGTGATTCACGATATGAATACAATATTTTACCTATATTTTTTTCTCAAGTATCATTCTAAATAATTTATATTCATGGGTCAATGTGTTCATTCTAACTATTTATCTCGATTGTACCTTTATGAGTAATTTGAAGAGTGTCCCATATTTTAAAAGAAGATCTAGAGTGAAAAACCTAAAAAACCTCATCAATACCGAAAGTGGTAGTGATAATGATTTTTGCTTTTAAGCTATGTTTCACTTTTTCTTATCCTTTTTAGTTTAAATTTCTCTATTCATTTTTCCACAACACCGTCAACTATATGTACGAAAATAAATCTAAAGTCTGCTAGCAATGTTCTTAAATAATCAAATTCAAATTGAATCCAATTTTCAAAAATTCTTGAAATTATTTTTCTCATAAGTTGTTTTACTTATACAAAACAAACAAGATTGTCCATGAATTTCATAACACTCAAAGTTTCATGTGTCCTTAGAACTTTAGTGAAAGATATGTAGACTCTAAGTGTGTAATATTCTTAGAAGTTTTAGAATTAATGGCTAGAAGATTAAGATAATAGAGTAAATTAATGAGAAAAGCCCATACTTTGATTAAGTCACCTGCATATTAGATAGATTTGCATACACAAAATTAGCTTATTTATGAATTCAATTTTAATCATTTTCGTGTGTGCGGACTCAAGGGATCACATTTGTGAAGTTAAAATATTTTCTTTATTGTGTTGTTCTTACTTCATGTGCACAATGTCAAGGGACCATATGTTCGAAGCTAGCATGTTTTAGACATAGCTAATATGTTTTTTTTTGTATGCAGGCGAAACTGTAATAACCACTAAAAACTCAAACACACGATCGTGAAAGTTAGAGTTCAAACCTTAGTATTGATGTCCAATCTATCAATATCGATATTTTTATCGGTTAAACTAGAATTTAAGTACGATATACCTAATATATTTTGGTATAATCAACACCATTCTTGCACTTTTTTCTACACGAATTTCTTCTCCAAAAACCCAAATTTTTTATTTTTGTATAATCTTTATCTTTCATAAAAATCCATCAAAAAGTTATCAATTGCTATTATACTTTGATCACACATAGTCCTTTTAAAGTAAATATTCATCTTCTTAACTCTAATTTTATCATTGTTATATCAATGAATAATTATAGAATGAAACTCATTAATTTTACCTAATTCTTGTCATTTGTATTAATGATTACATTCTTGCAAAAGATAACATGTATTTTTTTTTTATAGTAAATATTATTCCATTAAGTGAAAAACAATAGGTATTACAAAGATTAAGAGACATATCACATATGACATATCTCATCTTTAAAAGTAAAAATTACATAGACATAAAACACAACCACATATCAACAATCCATCCACTCTATTAAGAACACCGATAATGACAATATATGAATGGTAATCTATTGTCTTTTTTTAAATTCTCTCTGACTTGTGTTTGCGCATTTCGAGGTCGACAGTGACAATATATGAATGATAATTCATTGTATTTTTCCAAATCTTCTCTGACTTGTGTTTGCACATTTCGATGTTCTGACATTGTCCATTTTTATTGAATGGTTAATTAATGACAGAGATAATGTTGCTCCAAGACAAAAACTCTTTGGAGGTTTTATCAGACAGCTGTAGTTCAGACTTATTCCCAAAAGACAAAAGTAAAAAATAAAAAAACACTAAAAGATCCATGGCATCTTTGGGGAAGTGCGAAAGTGGTCAATATAGTGTAAGTATCAAAGCAGATACAATGAACAGGGTACAACCACTATTGTTGAGTTTGAGATGCTAACAACCTTAATAAACTGTGGCTCTAACAGCAGCCGCGTCAGTAGAGAGGCGATTTACAATGTTTTGCAGTGACGAAAGATAATTTCTGATAAATGACTCAGTTTCTGATAGAAACATGCGAGTGAAGTTGAATAAAAGATTAAACTTCATAAATGAGATAACCACCATAAAACTGAAAGATGAAAGCCTCTATAAAAGTGGAAAGTGGGGGACTATCAAGCCCAAAATGGTGTTTTTAGAGAGAAAAAGAGCATCTCTTACAAGTTTACTCTACCTCATTTTCCATCTGATGGGAGGAGTACCGATCATTTTGTCAAACTTTAAAAATTGGAATTGAATAAATATTATTGATATAAGTCAAAATGAAAGAAAAAAAAAAAAGAAACATATCAAGAGAGTATATATGTGATGTCGTGTAAAGCGAAAGAGAAAGAAACACAAAAACGCAGACCGTATATGCTATTAGTATTTCATTTCACTGCCTTCCAATTCCAACAACTCCCAACTCGCTGTCTCTTATTTACACCAAAACCAAACCAAACACACCCTTCCTTCCTCTCTCTGTTCATATGGCAATTTGGGGTTTTTCTCTCAAATTAGGGCACGCAATTTCCTGATGGATCCATTAGTTGATTTCCTATCCTCGAAATTCACAATCAATCAAAGGAGTAGATGTGATCCTACTTATTATATTTGATTTTTCTTTTGGAATTGTAACTATCTGTAATCTATCTATAAAATCCGACAATTTTCTAGGGTTTTTGTTATGTCGGATCGGACCAAGGTGGTCGTGCGGCACTTGCCTCCTACCATCACTGAAGCTTCTCTTTTACCGCTAATTGATTCCGCCTTCGCCGGTCGCTACAACTGGCTCTCTTTCCTTCCTGCCAAAATCAGGTCTCACCATTATGTCTTCTCTATTGTTTGTGTTTTTTTTGTTATCATGGTTAACTCAATGTTTATGATGCATGCAATTTACACTTATGATTATTATAATTTATGTCCTTTTAATTTTATAGTCTCTTTCTAAATGCATTTTCAGCCAGAAGCATGCCTCATATTGTAGAGCTTACATTGATTTCAAGAAGCCTGATGATGTTATAGAGTTTGCTGAATTCTTCAATGGACATGTCTTTGTCAACGAAAAGGGTAACCAATCATATCATTTCAACTTTTGATTAAACACTATGATTGAAGCACAAACACCTTTAGTATTAAGTGTGTAGTGTCCGGCAATCGTCGGTTACTCCTACAACACATGTTGAATATTCCAATCGACATTCCTTGGACCATTGTCCGGCACATGCATGACACTCCTAACACAAGGGAATTAAAGTATTTTTCTATGCTTAGACGCACCTTATGCGCACATTGGATGCATCTAACATGTCTGATCAACTAGGAGTTAAAGACTTTAAATTCGATTACAACATTTGTTTTTTTCTTTTTCATAGTAAATGGATAAATAAACTTCTCAATCTAAATGCACATGTATATATTTTGATTTTCAATTTCGACCTTTTATTGGTAATAATATTAATATTTTATTTAATTATAATAAATGAGTTAATATATATGAAGTGGTGTCGTGCCGGTGTCTTATGTTTATTATTGGAACTAAAGATTGTCAAGATCGGGAGGGGATAGTAAGATTGTAAAACATAAGATCGTAACTAAGATCGTGAGATTCTACCCAGTTATTTTTGTAAGATCAAAGGGAGTAGCAAGATCGTAAAACATAATATCGTAACAAAAATCATAAGATATTACTCCCTCCGTCTCATAAAAAGTGTCTCATTTGCACTTTTTCCGTGTCTCGGATAAATGTCTCTTTACAATACCAATAAAAACATTTATTACTTTTTTCCACTACTATACCCCTATTTATTAACTTTTACTTTTTCTCAACTACTCCACTAACTATAATTAATAGGGGTATTTGAGTAAAGAATACTAACTTTATCATTAAAATCAACACATCCAATTATTTTTTTAAGAACCGCGCATAATTCAAATAAGACATTTATTATGAGACGGAAGGGAGTAGTAAAATGAAAAATAATACTATATCTTTTAAGTTTTTTACATGATATTTTGTTAGGCAAGTGTGTTCGGGACAAAATGGCCTCCGCCAAACCGTAATTGTTTTGCCTTCCTCGGCATCTTGTCATCATTCTTCGCTTGTAATTGTGGTGACCGGGAAATGGTCGATCGTGGCCTAATCTGGTCAATATCGCACATAATCAATGGTTTAACGATTTTTTTCGCAATTTGAATACTAACTTTATCATTAAAATCAACACATCCAATTATTTTTTTAAGAACCACGCATAATTCAAATAAGACATTTATTATGAGACGGAAGGGAGTAGTAAAATGAAAAATAATACTATATCTTTTAAGTTTTTTACATGATATTTTGTTAGGCAAGTGTGTTCGGGACAAAATGGCCTCCGCCAAACCGTAATTGTTTCGCCTTCCTCGGCATCTTGTCATCATTCTTCGCTTGTAATTGTGGTGACCGGAAAATGGTCGATCGTGGCCTAATCCGGTCAATATCGCACATAATCAATGGTTTAACGATTTTTTTTGCAATTTGGCTATAACACACTATTCTACTTAAGATCGAGATCGTAGAGGGTGAGTGGGATCGCAAAATCGTAAGATTTTAAGATCTAGATCGTGATTTTGACAACCTTCCATTGCCTTTTAAATTACATTCTAAATAGAATTCGCTTCGCTACTAAACAGATTCTGTGTACAGTTTACATGCTTATTTAACTATTTTGTACCAGAAGCCTTGGAGCTCTGATATTATTTGCTCAATATGGTTCTCTGTCTCACTGGTTTTCCTTCCCAGGAACACAATTCAAAGTCACTGTTGAATATGCTCCTTCGCAACGTGTCCCAAAGCAGTGGTCTAAAAAGGACGGTCGCGATGGAACCATATATAAAGGTACCGTTTTAACAGGGGATTGAAATAAATTACAATTGATAAATAGATGTTCCTCAATAGGAGTTATGTGTAGCGTCCTTTTGATGAATGTAATATAATTTTTTACATGGTGAACATCTAGATCCCGAGTATCTGGAATTTCTAGAACACCTTGCCAAGCCCGTTGAGAATCTCCCTAGTGCTGAGATACAGTTGGAGAAAAGGGAGGCAGAACGATCTGGTTCGTAAGTTAATGCTTAAATTATGCTGGGAGCTATAATTTTGATTTTATTTTCAGACAAATATGATTTTGAATTTTAGAGATGAAAAAGAGTGCGCATACACAGAATGAATCGGTAGAGTATATTTTTTTATTCTTTATTTATTGGATTTGTATCGTTTGCAGGTGCTGGGAAAGATAATCCTATAGTTACACCGCTGATGGACTTTGTGCGCCAGAAAAGAGCTTCCAAGGGACCACGGGTATTTTTGCTTATGATTCTGATATGTTAAAGAAACTTATTCGGTTTTTCTTGTTGTTTTACACGCGCCTCTAAGTATGTGAGTATGTGTATGTTTCTATTTGTGAGAGCACATGTAGATAAGAGTGAGTGCATTCATTCTGATCAAGTCCGTCATAAATAACAATTCTTTTTGTTATATCTAGAAGCACCATCCTTTCCTTGCTTACCTAATATTCTAATTGGAATTTGTACAGAGACCATTGTCGAATGGAAAAGTGAGCAGAAGAACTGGCACACCTTCAAATGGAACCTCTAGTTCTGCCCCAACAAGACGCGGTTATGCAAAAAAGAGAGTTTCCACCACAATGGTTTATGCTTATAAGCTTTAACAATTATTCCTTTTTGATTTCATCAGAGAAATTTTTTGGTTACCAAAATAGTCACATGTTTTTTATAGCTGGGATAAATAATTCTTTCCATTTTCCTGATTTTTTTATTGCACATTGCTTTGAATCTTTGAATATATGGTTGGCTGGAAAATATTTTCAATTTATGGCTCTTTGGAGAAATCAATTATTAGAAGTCCAGAGTTGAATGATATAAATTATTTTCTATCTAGTGTACAAGGTTTTCTTGCTGAAGATACTATTACGGTCCTTTAATTATACTCGAATAGTCCTAATCTTAAGAAAATCATCGATTTTATTTAATTACTAATATGAGAATAAGATATAGCCATTGGTTCAAATGTTAGTTAAAACTAGCTTATCCTTTTTTTTTTCAACTTTGCATTTTGTTTTATCGCAGAGGAAAGGAATGTTTGAGAGATGTATTTCCTAGTAAAATGTTTTTATTCAACTTTTAAAATAATGGAAACAACATGAGTATATCCGCTAGTCGCAATTGCTTGCACATGCATATGAAGTACTGATTCTTGGTTCCTACTCTTTTGTGTTTTAACATGTCAAACTTTTGCTTTTATGGTGAACAGTATGTTGCAAGGGACCAAGGGAAAAGTTCTACCGTGAAAGACAAATCAACTTATATTTTGGTTCCGAGGCACGGTGATCAAAATCTTTCAAATAAATCTTCAAATATAGCTTCTTCAGATGGAAACCAAACTTTTGATGAGAATGGTGAGGTTGATATTTTGTTCAACTTTTCACGTGCAATTTTTTTTTTTGGATTTTATTATGGTTTGTGTAACTTTTCATGTTCAACTTTTCATGCACAATTTCCCCCATTATCTCCCATGTAGCCGACCCCACTTAGTGGGATAAAGCTTGGTTGTTGTTGTTGTTGTTTTCCCTTTCCCCCCCAGTTTCCGATCTTAATATCTTAAGAGGTGGCTCCTCCCATTCTCTGATAATTTTGATATGTTGTATTTTTTTTTTTGATAAGCAATTTTGATATTTTGTATCGGATCAGTTATGGGAATTTTCTTACCACCTTTCTGTCATTTCAGGAATTGCTGGAAGTAATGATGCTGGGAAAAAGAAAGTACTGTTTCTTAAAGGGAAAGAAAGAGAAGTAATTACTGTAAACTTTTGATTATTATCTTCATTAATCTGTTCTATTTATACTTGGCATATCTTGCAAAAGGATTGACATAAGTTGCAGAGTATGAAGGTCAACATGTACCAATAGACAGCCTGACTTAGGTTGAATGTAAAGTTGATTGTCCTTATTCTGACATGAAGCAACTTGAATTGTTGCTTTCTTAGAACTAAAAATCACTCCACCTTCCATCCTCTCGTTCTTTTTTCATTTAAAATAAGTTTAATTTTGCCGGACTCATTTTAAAAAACATGCAAATTTCAGCTAATCTTGAAAATTATTGTATTAATAAGTGGAATTGTTGATAAACTAAGGTTCTAGTTTCATCTTTCTCCTGTTAAAAATGTTAATCAGAAATCAAAGGTTAAATATGTTTCTGACTAGTCTCGCATACAAATCAATCAGTGACTGTCACCGAGCTTTACAAAAACACTAGTAAAAATGTGAACCGGAGATATAATGATGCAAATGGTTTGATAGAATTTGTTTCCTATAATCTGCTGTCTAATTGCCACATGAAGTATGGAGTATTTCAATGAAATATGATGAATCAGTAATTCGTTATCAATTCGGGCATGGATTGGGTTTTAGTTCATTGCTAGTGTCCTTGATGGATTCATCTGTCAGGTTCATGTTTTTACTACAGGTCTCTTACGAGTCTATTTTGCTTTTGTTTGCTTCTTATTATGCAGGTATCTGATTCAGATAGCATGTCGCAGCATCATAACATAGCATCTTCAACTAAAACAATTCATAGTTCTATGGTTCTGAGACAGAATCAGCGGCATGAAGGTAGTGGAAGGATTATCAAAAGCATACTCACAAACAAAGATCTGCGACAAAGTCAGTCTTCCCGAGCCTATTCTGAGCGGCAGATCCAAACATCAAATCTAGAAAAAGAAAAACAACCTGCTCGCCCCGTACACGTGCAATTGATTTTGAAGGGCACTGATGGTGCGCCAGAGAATAGGATTACCGTGCATGGTCTACATGTTTCTAATGAGAGACAGGAGAGGCGTTTTAGACATAGGGATAGACCTGATCGTGGTGTTTGGACAAGTCGTTCCAATGTAGGTGATGAATCTTTGGCATCCTCAGGCTCTTCACAAGTAAATCCTTTGGAAGGTACATGCTTTGGTTTGGCAATTGTGGACTAATCCTTTATGCTTATGGGGAAAAGATTGAAACTCACTTTTTATTAGCTAAACAACTGACAAATTAATGCACAAAATATTACCTTATTGGAAAGTCTGCTACCGCCTGCTTACAGTTACATGTTGAAATTTTTTATTGTACTGTTTACCTAACAGGAGGTCATGCAGAGTTTAAACATGACACACCAAGCGCAAGAAGTGGGGAGGTAAAATCTCTTGGAAATCTCCGTGCCAGTCATTCATCGGAAAATGGTTGGTTTCTGGCTTTGGATAGCAGAATCTAGATTCTTTTATGTTTATACTCGTGTTAATGTTTGCTTGAATTTCACTGCTCGTGACTGTTTAGGTTTCACTAGGCCTTTTGGTCGCCGTGGACCAATACATGGGGTGAAGGATGTTGATGGCTATTCAATTAGTGAGGGGAAGCATCCTAGAAAACCTAGCACCTCTGCTTATGGTTCCAACGAGGTACCTGAATTTTATTTCTGCATTGAAACGCCAAATATTCTTTTCTGGTTCAATAAATGATAAATCTCTTTACTCTGCAGAAACAAGTTTGGGTCCAAAAAGCAAGTTCTGGGTCCTAGAGTATTTAGATTGGTGAGACACATTCCTTTCGTCAGGCCTTATAGTCTATCGATGTAGCTGCATAATATGGTTTTTTCTTTTTCTTTTTTCTTGTGGGCAAAAGGCCCATTACTTTGATTCCTTTCTGTGGAAGTTGTTATTAGTATTTCAATAATTGAGTTATGTTTACCAAGTCCGTTTCATTCACATGCTTATGTAAATGTTACTCCCTCCGTTTCAAAATGGCTGTCATTTAAGCAAATAAAATTTGTTTCAAAATAACTGTCATTTTCACGTTTCAATGTAGTAATGATTACTATTTTTCCAATTGTGCCCTTTACTTTTTTACTCTGGACACTACTTCTAATACATTAATAAGATTAATTTTGTAAAAGTGTAATGTCTTATGACAACATTATTAGATTTCTTAATCTGCGTGGAAAAACCTTAAACGATAGTCATTTTGAAAACAGAGAGTGTAGCTTAATTTACTATTTATGTAATTACTTGTGCCAAAGTTGATGATTTTCCCTTGCAGTGCTAAGCTTGCTGACATACCCAATTTTGGAGCATGCATACATTTGCTAGCCTGGATTCTGTCTGTTTTTGGTCGACGGATTCTTACAAGTGAAGGAGTTAGTGTGATTAAAAAAAATCTTTTACAACACATGGAAGGGAAGTACTGTGATGGATTTGATCTGGCTTAAATATTTGGACATAACTTAATTGAAGATGACTCTGAAAAAAAAGAGAAATGAAAGCAGTGACTCATTTTCAAGCTGTTATGGATAGATTTGCCTGGCAAGTTGTCTGGCTTTATATATCTTAAATAGTTTTAGTGTAAATATTCCCTAAATATATACAATCCCTTATTAGCTAAGGGTATGGTATCTATATAAAGAATCCGTTATTTTAGCTGTTTTCCAAATACAAGTCAGCGCTTGCTCTATTCCTGGGTGATTTTCTAATTACACGGAACACTTCATGGACGACTTAGCAGGATTTTTGTTGGCACTGAAGTTTCTTATAGAGCTCAAACGCTGAAATGCCTTAGATGGCGACATGGTGTGTTGGGAATTATTACTGTGTGGATTTTAATTTTCTATAAAATATCTATGTACAGTATGGTGTTGCATAACAAAGTTGTTATATGATGTACTCTTGGAGTATCTTCAACTAAAAATTCACTGCTTTTTATGACTCATTTAGGGAATCTTCTGATAGAAAACTAGCACATGAATTTTATTGATATGTTGAATTGATAGGAATAATTACATGAATTCGCAGTCGCACTCCAAGAGTTTGAGAGCTTGACCCCTCACTTTCTTTTTCCCACACAATAATTGTCTAGCTATTGTCCCTTTTCTTTTTACTAGATCAAACAACGATTTCATTCCCTTGAATCACCGACGTTAATTTAGAACACACTCCTTCACCATTAGGACTTCTCCCATGCCTCACTTCTAATGTGTATGTTGATGTTTTTAGCATACGCAATTTATGTACCTTGATATGCGGTTGATTTTACATTACATTATGTGTGGCTCTACAATCTACATGACCCATCCCTTTTTCTTCCTCTAATTTCTCCCATAACTTGACAGCTTCTTAAAAGGTAAGATCATTATGTTGCACATTGAATTTTGGATATTCCTCGTCTCTCTCGTTTGTTCTGGTGCATTCAATTCTTCCTTTATCTTCTTATTTCTCCCTCGCTCAAAGTACTTGCAATTGTTTGTTTGCACATACGTGTCATGGTCTAAGTCTCCCGTTACATCTAAAACGGATCTATTTTCTCACTCTTCGTTGAATTTCAACATTATTCAATCTACACAATTCTTTTCCTCGGAAGGTTCTAAATTGTCTCTCGTATTTGCTTCTCTTGTCAAACCTCCCACTCCTGACACAACAATATTTTGGAATTGTTTTCATTTCTGACTCACATTTTATTCTATGTATGTCGCAGTGTCTAACGCTTATATGATACTTGTATAACACATGTTCGAAATTAAATTGGTGTATGACATCCATTTGACACCCATGCAATACATGTCGGACTATTTAGAACGTCTAACAATTTAGAATGTTGAACAATATATGTTTAAAAGAAAATTTGTTTTTTCTTTGCTTCGATATATCTTATATATATTTTTTAAAACAAATATCGCATACATCTAAAAGAGTTAAATATATAACTTTCTGATTTAGGGGGAGCTTACAAATCTCAATCCTAGAACTATCAGACTTAGGGGGGGCTTAAAAGTCTTAGATCCTGAAGTCAGAATGTAAATTAAACCAACAATCATTATTTTTAAATATTTGTGTTTGTCATCATAAAAAAGGGGAGATTGTTGGAACAAAATTGGTTCATATCATATCCCTTAGGTTTTGATGTTAACAAAGTATTTAAAGAACAATTGGGTAGACTTTATGTGTGTTCAACCCTGCAGGTACAAAGATTAATATATTGATTGTAAGTCAGTTCTGAAACTGTACTGAACATTCAAAGAGAAACTCTTAAGTAGATTTTGAAGATTTACAATTGATAATTCTTTTTATAGCAAAGGAGTTTCAAATGAAATTACAATGACATTAATCATACCAGGAAGCTTTGCAACAAACGTGTTGATGCTTCTCTCAAATATTCTTTGTGCTTGAAGTTCTCTCCAACAAATCTTTCATGAAACTCTATAAAAGGAGTTGAAGATTTGAAGAAAGACAGAAGATTGCGCCTTAGTAAGAAAAGAGAAGTTACTGAAATTCTGGCTATCAGATCCCGGATGTCCTATGAGATGTCGAGACACCAGATTCGACTACTCACATAACATCAAGATGTATAAACAAAAATACTAATGCTGAAAGTAAATAACACATGATATGTTTACTCAGTTCAGAATAATTTTCTTACTCTACGGGTTATCAAGCCTGGGACGAAATCAACTAGATAGTATCAATTTGTAGATCTTACAACAAACCTCCAGTTTACAGTCTACACACTTAATCACTACCCTTTATTTAGCTTCTACCTAAGACACACCTAAGTATGAGGCTCTCCTTAAATCTCTCTTCAATTACACTCAACAATTAGAGCAAACTCTAAACACAAGTAGAGAATAAAAACCAGCCGAAAGCTATACTTTCAAAACACGCAAGACTCAATGCTTAAAAATTTATGAGAATTAACACACAATATGTTCAATGCTTAAAAGCTTATGAACATTTAAAAAGAGAACTTACAACCTAACAAAATAGTCCCACTCTTCTATCAAGATGATATTAGAGAGACTCACAAAATAATGATTCTACAAACCTAAAAATACACACGTAATTTTTACCTAATACTACGTATACACCAGTCTATTTATAACTTTATTCTAGACTGGATTGAGCTTTAAAACCGCAGCAGTGAGGCTGCACAAAGTCTGCAAAAAGTCCTCCAAGAAAATAGGTCTTCAATCATTAGTTTTCTAATAAATCTCCATATTTAGAAACTGATCAAATATTCGAAAACTAATCACAAAATATTCTGATCAATCAATCTTGGACGCCACATAAACTAATTGAATATTCCCTGAATATTCAATAGCTACAAATCAACTTATTCACGCTGTCAACTTGCTGCAGATGCGGTGTCCTATATTCTTGTTGGGACATCTTACTCAACATGTTGAAACAAAATATTGAGACATCATGTTAAACACGTTGCTGCTAAAATAGTTTTACCAAAATGTAAGTCAGCCATAATTTCAGAGAAATAACAATCTCCCTCTTTGACATATTTTAGCTAAAACACTTAAGTAACCCTTGCACAAAAATATGCTTGAAAATAAATCAAACATACACATCAGAGGTACAACAGCAGAAAAAACACACAAGCAAGGTTAGCAGCACAGTAAATAACAGCACACACATATAATTAGTAGTTAGTTGATCTACTAACACAGTTGAACCAAAAATAGAAGAAAACACTTAAGTTCTCCCACCATGATGTCTCTTAAAAAATAAGCATAAACTCCCCCTCAAAACCCGCTATCACAATAAGAGAATCAGAAAATTCTCCCCCTCAGCAAGTTCCAGCTCCAGCACCCTCAATATCATACTACTCCCTTTTTGTAGTCATAATGTGACAAAGGCAAGTAGACAATCTTAACAAAAAAAATTTAAACACCTAAAGTTATATAGTTAGGATGATAAAATTTAAAAATATCATGGGAGTTTAGCCCTTACATAATCATAAACCAAAATAAACAGGATCACAAGATAGATCCAAGAAAAATCCCATGACAAGCTATCATGCATCTTCCTTTTCTTCGAAAGTACTGGCAAAATGTTCATTAGGTGAAGCACGATACTTAGCCCCCTTAACACAAGATGCAACATCAACAATAATTTCTATAGCTCTACATAGACACAAATCCCAAGTATCCTTCTTAAGTTCTTAAACTGAGCAGCATCAAGAGCTTTTGTAAAGATATAAGCAAGTTGATTCTCATTTTTTACATGCTCAAGTTTAACGACTTTATCCTCCACAAGTTCTTTGTTGAAGTGATGTCTGATGCCAATGTGCTTGGTCCTACTATGTTGAATAGGTTTTTTAGAAATATTTATAGCACTCAAATTTTTGCAAAACAATGTCATAACATCTTGTGTGACATTGTATTCATACAAAATTTGTTTCATCCATACTAGTTGAGAGCAACTGCTTCCTGCTGCAGTGTACTCAGCTTCAATAGTAGAAAGAGAGACACAATTTTGCTTTTTACTGAACCAAGAGATCAAGTTTCTTTCCATAAAGAAACATCTTTCAGAGGTACTCTTCCTATCATCAGCACTTCCAGTCCAATCAACATCACAAAATCCCACCAACGAGGAATTTGTATCATGAGAGTACAATTTACCATAGTCACCTGTTCCATTCATATACTTCAAAATCCTCTTTACTTGATTAATGTGACTTACCTTCAATTCAAATTGATATATTACACATACTCCAACAGTAAATGTGATGTTTGGTCTGCTA